CGTATCAGCACGAAACCCTAACCACTGAGTAAAACCCTAGCCGTCTGAGCACGAAACTCTACCACCGAAGAAAACCCTAGCCGTCTAAACTAAAATAGAATTCTACCAAAAATCCATAACTTACGCCGACTGCGTTCTCCAGTGTCTCTGATTTTCTTCGTTATGGTTAATCAATTAAGATTTCTGCCTAAATCTTAGCCGACGAGATGTCTCAGTTTCCATGCCTCTAAATACATCGAGATAAGTCTAATTAACAATCTGAATACTTTATTACTTCTATGGTCATTGAGATGTCTTAAGAATCGTTATCCAGAAATTGATAGAGATNNTTGGCTGATATGTGTGCCNCCTTGATCATATTGCNTTGAATTGTTTTTGTCATAATCTTATTGATTNTTATCATGGCTCCGTTATAACTATAGATCGACACACATAATTGATAAACAAATAGTTATAATTATTGATAGGGCCTTACACTCCGTAATTCTACTGCTTATTGTCCTTACACTCTTTAATTCTACTGCTTATTGTTTTACGAGCATAATTACAATTGTCTTATTACTTTGACTGTCTGTCACATGTTCTATTGTTTAATTTGAGTTCTGACTTAACTATGATTGACTTATACTTTAATATAAAAGATAGGGCATTTGACATAGTCATGTTTGATTAATTATCAATTGCTGTTTCTTTTTCATGTAACGAGGTTCTACGTGGAGTATGAACCAGTTTAGCAATAATGAACAAACTCCGGCGTTTCCGATCTCTCNGTCGTTATACTAACCAAGCTAAGTTTATCTCAAATTCTAACATCATGTCTTAATTATATGAAACATGAATTCTATTCGCAGTTATGGTTTGATTGGTGTTGATTTGTTTGCAATTATCGAAACATGCTTTNAAACCCATGCTTAATAAAATATTGACTCATGCCTAAAGAGAATCGGAGTTATAATTGCTCATGCTTCATCGATGAACGTTTCATTAGTTCATTATTTAATTTGTTGTTTGATCCATAGATCAATATATGTTTTATTGTTTGTCTCGATCTGCTTCGTTAGTAGTCATGATTTTTCGCCCACTGATTTAATTGTTGGTCACGTATAACTAGTTGGTCTAGTATAAATCATATTGATTTCATGTAGAATCCATGTTAGGTTATTGTTTATTCACAGTATCATGTTCACAGTATTTTTAGTNAATCATATGTTGGAAAGATAAAGAAATATTGAACATATTCATTTGATATGGTTAATTTGACGAATCTTATTTCGCTCATACTTTATATTGTNTGGCTTGGTAAATAATTGAGTTGAGTTGTTTAGCCGAGACCAACACACATGTTTGATTATGGCTTTATTGATTCACCGAAACTGAGAATTGCTTTTTAATAATTGTTATGTGTTGGTCTAATTGGTTTAATATTGTGATATGATATCATAGTGCTTTAAACAAATCGATGCATGCTTTATTATTGAAATGAATACGATAATAAATTACAATGATCGATATATGTTTTCGTTCATGTTTATTAATTTGGTTGATTTATAATTCATGAAATGGATTTTCTGGTTTGAAAAAGTATTAATCGATCATGTAGTATCATATGTTATTAGAGTAAATTTTGAATTAAGTTATGATGCTTAATGCTGCATGTTTATATTTTCTACTATTGGATTTTTATAATAAAATCACATCGAGATGATTATGATCCATTCCCTGAGTGAATGTGACAAGAGAATTTGAAAAATTATATAGAAAAGAAAAGACCACACTAAGCTAA